CTTTTACACAAAGTAATTTTACACTTTCTGGTTAGTTTAATATAGAAGGGACTTGATAGATTCTTCAAATTAAGTATTTAAGCTTTGAAACCAAATTTGTCAGTCATAGATTTCAAAAAGTCAAAACCAGGAACTTACAAGAGCAGTGAGTGAATCATGTGAAACACTACAGACAGAAGTCACTAAGAGATTAGATTAGATCCTCACTTTTTAAATATTTAAGATCACCCACAGCTTAAAATTTGAGATAAGATACGATTCTAATCTGACTTGGTTTTATAATTAAACTTAACTGATTTCATTCTGATAAGAAATTTCTATTAGTGCCCTGTAGGACCTCCATCTACTCCCACATTTCCTTTCAATTTCATTTATCTCAGGAAAACTCCAAAGTTCTCCTACAACATGGGCAACTGCCAGAAACAATCTGAAAATACGGGAACTTGCCAAGTACATGCTTCTCCTTAGGAGAGTGTGAGTATACGGGCACAGTACCCAAAGAGAAAAATGACAGACCCCAACTATTAAGTGATTCTGGGTTCTGAAAGGAACAGTGCACTTCAGAAAGCCTAGGCACCGTGGCAAGTGGCAGCCTGTGATGGACACCGGGGCAGCCCTGATCCTGTGGCTGATCCAGCTCCAGCCTTTGGTGATGTTTGCTCCACTCCAGCTGAGCTACAGTCTGATTCAGTCACTTGATCTCTATAGTCTTTGTCACATGTCCCTAAGCATATTCTTTTTGTTTGCTTTTGCCTCTGTTGGTTTTTTTTTAAATTAACTTTAGCACCCCCCCAAAAAAAGAAAATATACCAGAATACCAATAGAAAAATGGGCAAAAGACTTGAACAAGCTATCCTCAAAGACAAAATAAATGAAACTTGCTTATAAGCATGTCAAAAACTTATCAGCATTGTTAGTAATCAAAGAAATGAAAGTTTGAAAAATATCATTTTCATCTATCAAGTTAGCAAGGATTTCTTAAAGATGGTATTTTGTTGGCAAGAACTAGATGTTCTAAGCATCAAGCCTATTGGAAAAGTGTTATACAGATATGGAGACAAAATCTAGGCATAAGAATGTACATTAATTAAGGCAGCAAAATATTGGAAATAACATAAAACCCAAAAATAAAAGAATGGATAAATTAAGGCATCTATAAGATGAATGACTTTTCAGTCACTAAATTGTATTAAAACCTATTTTAATTTTTTGGGAAAAACCAGCAAAGTAATGTTAATTTTTAAAAAAGGAAATGTGAAATTCTACAATACAATTCAAATTCTTCAAAAAATGGTCCATTTATATACAGGAAACAAAACTAGTGGTAAAAACTACCCTGTATTTTCAATAGCAGTTCTTTAGGCATTGGGATAATTGTAAGTACTCAGTATATACTAGGCACATGTTCAGTATTTTATATACATTACATTATGTTTATAGTTGAAACATCTTGGGAGGTGGGTCTTTATCTCTGCTGTGTATCTGAGGAAACTGAGGCTCAGAGAAGGTAAGTAACTTGACCATGGCAGCACAGCTATTAAATGGAGGAGCTAAGATCAACTTGACACAAGTCCTTGTTCATCATATCCATGCCTTTCCACTGGGGATTTTAATTTCTTGTTTCATATATTTTTGTGTTCTAGGAGATCTAAAATAAGCACATATTGCTTTTATAATTTTGAAACAAAAAATTAGATAAATGTTATACTACATATGTGCATATTCAAAAATTGATAATTATAAAACTTCTTTCCTCCTGAAGACCATGAATACAATCGTTTGATCTCAAACTAGTGTATTTGGTAATAAGCAAAAATGCTCTTTTAAAAAATGTAATCCCAAATCTTGGAATACTTTCCTGAGCCATGTCAATTCTGCAAAGCTTATTCATTGAAGAAATACTTATTTAACACCTGCCTTTTGCCACATATTATGCTAGGTGTTGGCACGATAGCAGGAATAACTCTCTAAATGACTTTCTTTGGATATTAGGAAAGTATTTGAGAGGAAAGTGGAGATGAGAAAGGCTAGGGAAAGTGAGAGTATCAGTCAATCTAACATGGAAAGTTCTGGCTACCTACATCTAAAGATTGCTTTAATTTTTAAGCTTTCCATCAAAACTTACAATATTTCTGAAAATCCAGGACACCCTCCTGGAAATGTCATAAATACTGTTCTACAATGCATTTATACTTTAACTATACTAGTCAGGGGAAATAAGATGCTTTTTAACATCACACAGCGTTATTCTCATTCACTGGGTGGACACTGGTCATTCCATTTCCCCCTCTGAGTTGTGTAGTATCTTCATTGTCAGTAAGAAGAGTTGGACTATTAGAAAAACGTTCTCAGCAGAAGAAATGCCCTTGGATGGATTCCTACTCCTCTTGGCTCCATTTTTCTTTGTCCCTGCCTACCTTTCACTTTTCCAGAAAAGCCCATGTCTTTCAGCAAATGGATGTCAAAAACGAAGAGCATTATCTCTACAAGTGTAGATGAACAGTTAAATGCTTTACTTTTTAGCCTGTGAGTCTAGAATTTTTTACCAATTTAGATTTAGATAATTTACTTTTATTTGTTATGATAAGGTCAAATGAGTGAAAAAAAAATTTTTTAAAAATAATACAATAGTTAACTAATCCTTGTCTACAAAGTCCCTGGCCCTACTGATAGGAAATGTTAAGGAGTTGTCACTATTATTATGCAAAGTACAGGAAGTCCACAGGAATGATAATGACTTAGACTTTCAACATTATGAATTCAAATAAATTAGGACCCTGTAAGACGATCCCTAAAAGCAAAGAGATACCTATTTGAGAAGGAAAAGCTGGATGTCTTCGAATTTAACAGGGGCAGCAAATTAACTCTCCTTGTTAATTCCCTTTCATGGTGACTTAATACCAAGGAACCAGAGCAAAAAGGTCAAAATTGGCACAACATACACCTTATGTTGTTTGTTCTGTGAATTAGGTGGTTTTCTTAATCTTTCAGGCTACAAATTTAGGCGGAAAGATGATGCCCATGGTTCTGAGATCAAGTGTCACTGCCATGGAGCGTCATCTTATTTAGTAAATGATGCCGTCCGATCTTATTGTAATAATAAACACGTTTCTTGTCTCCAAAATTGCAAATGAAGTACTCTCCCATAGTTTCTCTAAATACAGTTTTTAAGATTATAAAAGTAGTGAATAAATCTACTCTCCTATGAGTGTGCTAATTACTGTTTTAGTTCATGGTAACATAATGGCTTAGTAACAGTAACTTAACTGGAAGAGGTCAAACTGTTCATTCATTTGAATTGAGTATAAAACATCTTTGTATTAGACATGAATGCTGTAATGTATATTTCATGGGTATCTGCTACTATTACCACAAAATATTTTAGAAACCAATACAGTTTAAAGTGCTTCAGTTTTCAGCTTATTTAATACACATTGTGTCTAACAGCTGTGAAATCAGGAGAAAAACATTGTTTTCTGTTATAAGAGTAAAAATTGTTTCTCACTTCCCCAATTAGTTTTCAGAAAGGTTTATCACCTGGAAAACCAGTATGTATTAACGCCGGAAATAAGGATGACATCCAGTCTAAGGAATGCTTCCTTTAAATAGGAACCAAACTATAAGATTTCTATGATGTGTGATAGCCATCCCATGATGGCTTGCTCTAAATGATCTTGCTCTAAAACAATTTTTTAGAAGAAGAAAGAAAAACCTATGGGAAGCCTCCAAAGTTCTGGAGACAGACCTTCCAAGTGACTCTTTTAAAGAAGGAAGCGTTTATGGAAGGGCCAGGGAGGTTGGGAAAACTATGACAGGGGCCAGGGGCAGTGTCGCCGGATCCACTGAGGTTGTCCCAGGTGAGCCGGTGCCCAGGTTCGGGATGGAGGAGGAGGGCGCAGGGCGGCCCCCGCACCAAGCAACTCTCTTGCCCGACGACCCCTGCTCTGTGCCCAGGAGGCCAGGGCCTCGGGAGGCTGGCGCGGGCTGCCCGGGACGCGCCACCGGCTGCCTCGGGCTCGCGAGGAGCATCCCCCGACCCGTGGCTCCCGCGGCCAGCTCTGTCCCTCCGCCATCCTCACGTCCTCCGACATTTTTCAGGGAGACAAGGAGGTAGGGAGGAGAGGAAACGGCCGAGTGTCTGCACCCAGCCTCTGCCGCAGCACAAGAAGAGGAGGAGGAGGGAGGCTGAGAGGAGGCAGTCACTAAACTGTGATTCCACGGATAAAGAAAATCATCGCCCACAGCAGAAGAGTCCCGGGTACACCCACCCGGCCGGCCGCTGGGGTTTGGTGGGCGTTCCTCCTCGCCCCCTCGGTGGCTGTGAAATCGACCCCGAGCCCCGCACCAAAGCACCCGTGTTCCTTCGACTCAGGGGAGGACAAGGAACAAAAGAGACCCCCACCCCCTACACACACACCTCCGATATTTTACCGCTGCTCAAGGTATGCATGTTTGCAATCCCTCTGCTTACACCTTCCCCACCTGTGTAGTGCATTTTCCCAAAGGTAAAAAAGAAAAAATAGCTCCTCGAAGTGACCGGTCGGTCGGACACTAATTTCACATTCGACTTCCTCACAACCAACCACGGAATCCCGCGGGAGGACCGCGCGTCGCCGCGGGGTCCCCGCCGCCCTCGGCCCTGGCCGCCGGGTCCCCGAAGGCGCCCGGCGGTCCTCCGAGGACCCACGCGAGGGCTCCCGGGGCGGCAGGACGGCCGCCCAGCCCCTCCGCGGCAGCCGGAGGGCGGCGAGCGGACCGCGCGGTGGCGGCAACGCGGGCTTCAACTTCCCAGCCCTGCGGCGCGGCCCCCGCTCCCTCGCGGGCAGCGCCGAGCCCCGCGCCCGCAGCCTCCCCTGCCGCGGCGGAGGCGGTAGCACCCTCCGCCCCTTCTCCCCTCACCTCCCCCGCCCCCCACCTTTACAAAACCCATCCTTCGGTGCAAAGCAGACATTTTGATGTCATGGACTTAGCACGGCTCGCTCTCAGAGGCAGCATCTTACCCAGTGGCCTGGAATTGTGGGCAGCGCGCCGCGGGTTCCGGGGGCGCGAGGCTGAGCTGCTCGGTCCTCTAGCGGAGCGGCTCTGCTGCCATCCGCCCAACTTCAGCACCCGGCGGGCGAGGAGAGAGCGAGAGCCGGGAGGGCGGGGCGCGGGAGGAGGCGGGAGCCGCGCCGCCCGGCAGCGCGCATGCGCCCCGCGGGCGGGCGCAGCCCCTCGCCCGGCGCGGCCGGAGGTGCAGCCCGGCCCCGGCGCGCCACCGCGTGAGTCACCGCCCCGCCCCGCCCCGGCACCCGGTGCGGAGGGTCCCGGCCGGCGCGCGGAGCTGGACGCCCCAGAGGCGGGGACCCTTCCGAGGTGAGGGAGACTCGCAGGCTCCTCCGCCGCAGCCCTCGGTTTTTTATCCAGCGCTGAGCAGAACGCGTGAAACCGGGAGCCCGTCTCCAGGGCGCAAACCGCTCTGCCGCGGGGCGGGGGCGGGGTCCCGAGCGCGGGCTCAGGAAAGTGTGAAGTTGAGCAAGGACTCGGCTTCAGGAGCCCTTGATTGACGTCCTCACCCAGAAACCCCACCCTTTTGCCCGAGAGTTATTTCGGCCGCCCTGTGGTCCGGGGCACGGGCTCTGTCCCCGGGCGCGGGCCCACCGAGGCCGGAGTTTTGAGTGGGAGGAGCCGCTGACGGGGCCACAGTCGTGAATGACTTAGAGGCGCTGATGCTTGAGGCCTGGCGCATCCTTCGGGCACAGCTCGTAGCTCTCGGGTCTAATAATGTTCTGTTCACAAGCGGAGCCCAGCCTGGTAGTGAAGGAGCTGTGGAAACTTAATGCATCCTGAGCGCTAGATTGCATCTTCCATCATTAGACTGGAGTGCTTGTGAGGGTGAATTAGGGAAGCGGGTGTCTTTCTCTTCAGATGTGACATCTGTGGGAAGAGGAACGAGTTCTTGGCAGGAATGATTAAGCTTTTTTTCTTACACCTACTTAAAACTGATTACTTGTAAATATATGTGATTTCCGATTGCTTGTGTGCTCACATAGTCAGTCGTACCATTATTTCAGGTTCCTTTACTAAACACCTTCCTGCCCTCCCGGCTCTACCTCTACTTGAGTTAAATACATCTCAGGGTTTGAGCCAAGGTTTGCACCAAAACGTAACTCTAGCAACGTCATGGCGTTGAGGGCCAGTGCTCCTCCAAGGGTATTCCCTGGACGGTGGTGATCTGCAAACTTTCTCTTTGGTCTGTAATGAGAGATAAGTACATTGAGAGTAAGATTTAGAGACTTTTATAGCAATTTGACATTGCCTTGGCATCCAAGCACATTAGTTAGTTGTTATACTGTGTATGTTTTATTTGTAAAGTAATTAATTTTTGATTTTACAAAAGTATTGACCCATGAACATTGAAAATAGACAAGTTCACCAAAATTGGTTTGAGCTGTTACTGAATTCTCCCAGACTGGTATACTTCCCAGATTTATATCTTCAGTCCTGATCGTTCAGAGAACTCTTTTATGTCCTCGACTACCTTTACAGCCCCACGTGAAGAATAATTACAATACGTAATATTTATTGAACAACTACTGTGTTCTAGGTACTGATCTAAATGTTTTCCATATGTTTCTTATTTTCTCTACAAGGTAGATACTATTATTATGTTTAACAGACATCTCAGAAGTGAGACTCCAGATATCCACCCCCTCCAAACCTGTTCCTCTTCAAATTGTTTAATCCCGTTACTCTAGTCCAAAATTTAGAAATCACTCATTTTGTCTCTTTGTTTTAACCTACATGTGACTAACTGACCAGTCATGTCTCTACCTCCAAAACGTATCCCTGATGCATCCATGTCTCTCCCTCTCCCATTGCTATAAGCATGGTGTAAGCCTCTATCATCCTTCACCTGAACTATTAAAAAAGCCTCTGACGGGTGTCTCCACAACCCCCAAACAGCACATTCTCCAAATAACAGCTGAGGGATCTTTTAAAAATATAACCAGATGATGTCATACATCTGCTTAAAACTCTCCATTGAGTTTTCATTGCACTTTGACTACTACCCCTAATCCTTATCACAGCCTAGAAGGTTTTGTGTAATCTTGTCTCAGCCTAGTTCTCTTATACCTGCTCCCATAGACTATAACTGTGTGCCATAGCCATATCAGCCTGTTTCTTTTACTTTTTAAAATAAGATTAGCTTACAGTATTTGCTGTTCTTTCTGAGACTCTTCTGTCCCCAGATCTTTACATAGTAGGCGCCGTCATATCTTACAGGTCTCTGCTCAGATGTTATCTACTCAGGCTTTCCCTAACCACCCAATCTAATTTGCCCTAGAGTTCTCTTTTGGGTCTCTTGCTTTATTTTCTTCCAAATACTCTCTGCTATCTGAATCAGTTTGCATTTGTTTACTTGCTTATTATCTCTTCATCCCCCTCTGGAGTAAAGTATCTCAAGAGCTCTGCCTTCACATTCCACTGTTTTATCTCTAGTGCCCAGGACAAGATTTGGCATGTAGTATGTACTCAGGAAATATTCAGTGAATGACGGCATGATTGAATGAACAAATAACACACTTAGAAAAATTATTTTTTTTTTATGATGCTTCTTTCTCCTGGATACTCATTGCTACCTGTTAGAATCTGATTTCCCAGAAGTGCAGAGATAGACCACATTGTTTCCTCTGCCCACCCTGTAAAGATGGCCTCATGTAATGGAGCACATTAAAATTAGCTGCCAGGGTAGTGTTCCTAAAACCACTTTAGAAGAAACATGCTTGATCAAAAAGAAATCCTAAATTCCATGAATTTCCCTAAATTGTAATAGAGTCTGGGTGATTTTTTGCATCTATGACAACTTGGCTATTCAGCCAATAATTTACTTGTTGAAGTCAAATATAACCTCTTGCTGGTTTTTCTTTCATAGCTGTAGTTTGTTGTGTAATCTTTTATGTGTTATCCAGAATCTTCAGTGTGTAGACAATGTGAATGTTGAATAAATGGGTGGAACTGGCCATAGCTTTAATTATCCTCACCTCAGAGAGTTTGGTTGCTTGAAGTCTGTGTGTATATCCAGGTCTTAGGAAATATTTGTGACACCAGTGACATCACATGATGACTAGATCAACAATTCAATAAACTTCATTAACTTCTCCTACATGCCTGGTATTATGTCTTCCAGTTTTTTGCTAAACATGCAAATGTTATATACAATTATTATATATGATTCAAAAGTAGATGTCAGATCATTTTAGCCACAGGGATGCCTTTTCTTTATACAGAATCTCAGAGCTCTTTGGGCTTATCATCATTAAACATCTGTGTGGTAACTGAAAAGCAGCATTTGATCATGATCATTTCCATACCATTATGAATGTGTTTTTCAAGGAGGGAGAATCTGGATACAACAGCAGATTTTGTATCATGACTTCATAGTAAGTCAGACAGGATATCAGCAAGCAAGATATTTGTAAAAAGGAGATATTGCAAAAGAACAGAGCACCAAAATATTTACAGTACATTTACTCATAATCGGGGGTATTTGTCATCATTAGGAGACCTGGAATCTATCTCTGTAAGTTTGATACCCTGGAAAGGCTGTTTCAGGTAGAAATTATATATCATCTTTATATTTCATTTTCTCCCCACATGCTCATTTATTTAAAAGCAACTGCTTTACCTTTGAAAAGCAGAGAGAAAAGTAAGAAATGTGCTTGAATCTGGGAAACCCTGACTGCTCCATCCAGGTAAACTTCTTAAGAGTTTGGAAGACAGTGTGGAAGGATAGTTAAAACATGGCTGTTTAAACACACTTTTTCTTTAGTTTTAGGAAATAGGCTTATCATGTTTCTCTAACTGGTTTTACTCAAACACAGGCTCTTCTCAGGGAACTTATTTAGACAGAAAATATGTGCATTTATTCATCTGTATTTGAGGGAGATGAGAAAAAGGAAAGAAAGGAGACTGCCTCCCATATATATAAAATGAGACATAGTTTTTCATATTATATGTATTTTAGAATAAATCATTAGTTATTTATGTTCCCTTAATTATTTAACTTACCAGCATTGAACTTAAAAAGACTCAATATTATTCTTTTAGAATAGCATTTGTGAAATTTATATCTCAGCACAATTGGATAAGTCCATGGAGGTAGATATAAATATGTAAATATAAAAATCACCTTCATGTGAATTTGTCAGTTGTGTCCAACTTTGTATGTCATAAATTCCCACAATATCTTAACAATACAGAGTTGGTTTTGAGTCACCCTAAATATTTTAGGAAAGTGATCTTTTATAGAGCTTTTTAGAAAAGATGGACCTGTATATTCACATTCAGTCTGGTTCAACAGATGTATCATGCAAATGTTGGGCAACAATCCTTTGCTTCTGCATGGAAAAATAGCAAATTATTTATCTGACCTAGAGAACACAATAATGTTCAAGTACTACAGTCAGATTCTTTGTGGATGGAGAAAACATCCAGAATTTAATGATCCGTGTTATATTATCTTGAGATTTTGGAAGTTTCCTAGATGATGGTAGCTGGAATGTGGAACAGCCTTCTTTTTTGTCAGACCTACCTCCAGGGTGTGACGGAAGGCAGGGTGGAGACAGGCAGTGGTTTGATTCCACAGTTGTTTCTTACATCTCTACTGTGTTTTGGTTCATGACAGAGCAAGTTCAGAGATGTGGAAAGTCAACACAAATCTTTATGTATATATGTGTGCAGAGGCATAGTTTCCTAGTCTTGTATCTAGAAGGCCCCAGGTGATTTTTGAATTCCATATTGAAATGGGCTTAAGTTGCAAAACAGAAGATCTATATTCATACTGCAAATGTTTTGTTAAAGGATCTCTGGTCTCTTGATTTTCTGTGAAGTAGTTTCACAGTGTGAATATGTGAATAGTATATAAGAATCCCTTATAGTCTCACCTAATTCTTCATGTTCCAATTTTAGTTGAATTTACCTAATACTGTATGATTACCTAATTAACTTTCATCCATCCATTCATTATTTTACCCACTCATTTAAAAAACTCTTAGAAAGCGTCTGTCCTGGCATAGTGGGAAACAGAAATACAGCGGCAAATATTGTTTCTATCCTTGAGAATTTATAATCCAAGTGAGATAAGCTTTAAATATATGAAGTAACTAGAAGAACTCAATGAGGACACTTGAGATAATGTGGTATTATCGTTCCTTTCTATGAGGTAGGCCAGAGAATGATGAAAAAGGAAATTGTGTTTTATAATCAGAACTCTGAACTGCAAAGCATAGAAATTACAAATGATCAAAGTGGCCCATTGAAGTACACACTGAGAACTTTCTTTGTATTACATAGAACTAGTTTTAAATGGCTTT